AATGGGTGGACTCACTCCTTCCTTTCAAATGGGGGCAGAATCACTATACTGAAAAGCATACTAACTACTTTCCCCTCTTATATCCTACAGGTGACTAACATCAAGAAAAGTACTCAGATACAGATTGAAAGAGCTTTTAACAGATTCTTATGGTCTGGACAGAGGCAGCAGATGCATTGGGCTTCATGGCAAAAAGTAGCTAAACCTCAACTGGCTGGGGAAATTGGGTTTAAGGGAATCAATCAGCTATTCCAAATAAACCTATGTAAGCTTTGGATTAAATTTAGAGCTCAGACTTCCCTGTGGGCTCTATTCATGAAGGGAAAGTATTGTAAAAATCAGCACTCAACCCTTGTTGAAAGGAAGTTAGGGGATTCTAAAATTTGGGGCAAAATGCTTCATATAAGACACACTGCTGAAAACTTATTCATTTGGGATCTGGGGAAAGGAGAGTTAAATTTCTGGCTGGATAAATGGTGCCCTAAAGATTGGTTGTCCCCTATTAGTAACAAACCAAACCTTGATCTCAAGGTGGCTGAATGTTTGGTGGATTAAGATTGGTCACTACTTAAACTTTCAGAAATTCTACATGTCAACTCCATAGAAAAAATTGCCAGCATCAACATCAATAGAAGTAAACCAGATAAAATTGTCTGGCAGTCCTTCTCAAATCAAAGCCTTACTAAAGCCATTTATTCCAAAATTTTCCAATGGGAACATCTATCCTGGAGCAAAATCTTTTGGAGCAACTATCTATCCCCCTCCATGTCCTTTTTCTGTTGGAGGGTCTTTAACACTCTCATCCCTACTGATGATATCCTTAAACTAAAGGGGCTGAGAGGACATTTTGTATGCAGGTTCTGTAATCAAGAGGAGGAATCATTGCTACATCTTTTCTTTAAATGCAATTTTGTGCAGGCTGTATGGCATCAACTGCTAGCCCAATTGAACATTGACAAAAATCTCTTTAACTGGGATAACATCACCACTTGCTGGCAATCTTGGAACAATTGGAACTATGCTCCAATACCTCTTATTGTTGCATGGTTCACTTGGTTGGAAAGAAATAAGGTTAAGTTTGAAGAAGGCAGAGCTAAAACTGAGAGGGTAGTCAGAAACAGCATTTCTTACCTTAATAAGATGATTGAATACAGAAGATTTTCCAACATCTCCAAGTCTTACTCATTGGGACAACCTGACAAGAAATGTGTTCATATGTTTTTTTGCAACCTTCTTGATCATCAAACAGTAAAGGTAAATACTGATGGCAGCTTCAATAAGACAGGCGCAGGTGTTGGGGGTGTCTACAGAAATCACCTTGGGCAATGTCTATTATACTTCCACATCCCCATTGAGGCTACTGATGTTGTTGAAACTGAATTAAT